GACCAAGGGATTAGCTCATCCTCTGGAGGTTTCCAATTTTAGATGGCTCTGAAACACTTCTGAAATATTGTCCAAGAAAAGCAGGGCTTGTCGCTCCGAGAGGGAAGTTTCGAGGTGCACGGAGCACTGCTGGGCCGAGCAGCACCTGGGATCCCACGTGGCACACGACATGCCAGGGTAGGGCGACCATTTCTTTGGAATGAACTTCAGCCAGCTTCATTCTGCCAAAGTAAAGCTACCTCAAAGAGCACCTGGAATGCTTTGCTGCTGTATAGTATCTGTCTGTCCAATAAGTCAAGCAGATCTTTATAGGATGCCCTCTGCACACCTGTTACGGGCTGCAAGCAGCTTCCCATGTCAAATCACATAATTGTGAAGTGTGAGAACACCTCAAAAACTTCAGCATTTTCTGTTGCTAACTAAGGGAATTCTCTCCTGATTAAAGAATTGAATTGGAAGGGCAGATTCTTATGACACCCGAGGTCTCTCAGCCAATTAATAATCAGGCCTAAGAATTCCAGTTTTCACAGGTAATCTAAGGAGGTTATCCAAATTGTACTTGTACACAAAGATCGAGCATTTGGGTGCATGAACTCAGAAGAGGGAAAGAATGATAAATGGGTTTACCTTTGGTTATTTAGACCTGAAATCTTTGGTCCTCCTGGGGAAGAGTGAAACGATTCCCCAGCTTTAGTCCACAAAAACATGATTTAAAATTGCAGCCAGAACACGGAATCAAATGGACCCACATGAAAGAGCAATTAGAATTTTCTTAGTTTACTTTCAACACACATCATGCCCCTGAATCCCTTCTTCAGGGATCAGAAGTATCAAAATAGAGTGAGAGGCACTTCTTCCACTATTCCTTTCTTGGCTGAAACCAGGAAATGCTGGAAGTCTCACAGGAAAGACCTTTTCCATCAGCAAACCTTTAACCATGCTTCGAATAAGTGGAGAGTTTTGGGTAATTATCTGTCCCTTGGCCAGATTTCCCCAGCAACCATTGAACTCCACTGTTTCTGATCACTGCTGAGTACCTGCAGCTTATTTTTGCTTTCATCTAGGTGAGCATTTATTTCTTTTTCTCTAAACTTCTCAGAAAGCACAATATTCAGAAATGCTTGAGAAGCTGAGGATCCTGACACTCCTGAAAACGGGACCTAGGTGTTTGAGAATTGATTTTTTGAAATGAAAACCTGAGGCACTCAAATATTAGCTTTTAAAGGTTTTTATCTCCTCTTTATGCAGAACAGTGCCTGGTGTGGTTTTCAGAAAACAACCAGGTAACTAAGCTCCTTCAGAAATGTTTTTGTTGCCGGTGAATTTGTTCTAAAGTCATAAGGAAATCTTCTGGAAAGTTATTTATATCAATAGCTATCACACCACTGAAGTCATCCGATCTAATCATCCCCAGAGAGCTGCAACAATGGGAATTATAAATAGCGAAAATATCCTGGATATCATCTCCACTGTTTTAAAAACACTGGTCATAGAGAACAGTAACTAAGAAGAAATCTCAGGACAGAATGTATCAGACTTCGTGCACATTTGTCACTGCCAACTGTTCTTCCCAAGGGCCAGGTACTTATTTTTGAGCTAAACCCACAATGCCACAAAGGTGTCCCAATAGTCCGTATATTCTCCTCCTGCCTCCTGGTTTCTCCGCCATCATATTATCCATAGGAGCAGCTAAGGGGAAAACAGAGACTGTGTTGATAGATGGCCTGGAAACGCAAGAGATTAGGCAGGGTAGCAAAAAGCACTGTCCTAGCTCCCAAATAAAAGGAAGATTGTGTTCAAGTAGTTGTTTATTTAGAGTCCATTTGTAGATTAGTTACATTTTGCCATCTTCTTCATTGCAACTTAAGGGTGTGCAGAACAGACTGACTTCCACAAGGTCTCTATGTTTGTTTTATGACCTAGTTCCCTACAGAGTTCAAATTCAAAGTGCTTTATATACTACAGTGTGCTTTATTTTAATAATATATAAGCATGGTTTTAATTCTTTAGTGAAATGACACATCTCCTCTCTGGTGAGTATTGCCTGAGAAAAGCTGGGATATCTTAGTCTGCACAGGTTTCTTTGGTTTTTATTTATTTATTTTTAAAGTTTTATAGAAAATAGTTCAGCCACCTTTGGAACAAGCTTAGTGAAGGATGGTTTTGCCAAAATTCATATTTTTTTATCTCTTTTCTGAGGAGCCATAACAATTTGTAAGAGGAGCTTGAAATCTGGCAGCGAGACAACCCTCAAGTTCGAATGGTATCTTTGTCCCCAGGAAAATCCCTTCCTGATCAGCTGGGTTAAGAGTTACAGCAAAATCCCAGCTGGCATTCAAAAGACAGAAAGGGTTCCATGTTGATTTTCTGAGGGCTGCTGAGCCTCTTGTCCTGAGTGGGTACTGCACATCTGAAGGCACAGCTCAGGGCAGGTTTATCTTGAACAGAGTTCTTGTTTTCTCACAGCACAACTATGACATCAACAAGAAAGGTATAAAAGAAAAAGCTGACAAGAGAGGAAAAGCTAATTAGAAATTAGGAGGTATTAAAGACTCATAACGTTATTAGACACCATTAGAGCCTTTTAAAGTCAGCCTGTGTAATAATTTCCCTAGAATTTAAGGGCTTGTTCTCCAATTATTGTATCTGAGCTCTATTAATATCAGTGGAGTTACATTAGTTTGCCCTGACTAATAGTCTTTAGTTAAGCAGCCAAGCAAACAAAATCACTTTATTAGCTGTGCTTTTAAAGTCAAATATCAACTGAAAGGCTTCTTCAGTACAAAAAACAACCCCCAAACACAAGACCCCAATGCAGGGCACAGCCCTGAATCGGCTGCACATTCCAGATTGTGGGTCAACAGGAGTTTCACAAGGATACCCTCGGTCACTGCTTCCTCACAGCGACCTCAGAGGGAGGGGAGAAAAGGGTTTGAAAAACATTCCAGATTTCAGCAGAGTTTTTGTAGCTGTGCAGACGCAGGAGTCGCTGAAATGTCCGGAGGGACAGCCTTAGCAAGCCTGTGACCTTCTGTGACAAACCGGACCGTGGAATTTCAGAAGGGATTTAGTCGGGATTGTTAAACATGTGCCAAAAAGAGAACTGCTTCAATCAAGAGACTTTTTCAATCAAGTAGCACTATATTTGGACTGGAAACAGCCTGTGGATGAGCAGGAATAACCGTTAGAAGGCAAGTGAAAGGTTTCAAGTAGACACTACAGTCAAGGAAGAAACAACTTGAACGTATCTGGGCAAGTTTCCATACTGACCGAAGCAACACTTTTTCCCATGACATCAGATTCCAAACAAACAATATATTATAGTCCATATGTTGATTAAGGAAAACCCAAGCAGTGCAGAGGCATGCACCAGCCTTCTGAGCACCGACTGAGCAAGAGCTGGATCGCTTGCAAGCCGTGGGAGTTAACCAAACAAATAGAAAGCCCTCAGTTTTCAGGATAAGGCGCCTGGGTAAGACTTCTCAGCGAGATGAGGTTGTGAACGCCGAGGTAAGACTGGAAGCAAACTGCCTAGATCAAAGTTGTGCAGCCTGACAGACGACAGGGCCGTGAGGGAGCAGTGCTTTGAGTGTGCAGCAGTCGTAAGGGGGGGATAACGTGCTCAGAGGACTGAAGTTCTCTACCTGCCTGAAGTCATGCGGCGTTTGCATGACAAGTCTGGGCTGCAGAACGGTTTGCAGTCAGAGTGCAGAAGGGTTTTTGGCAGGTTAAACAAGTTCCCAGTAAGATGATGCTGAGGATAAACATGCAAGAGAAATGTATAAACGCTGTTTTCACAAGAACAGTGCTGTTTTCTCAGAACTGGCTGTATTTTAGGGAGGAACGCTCCAGTGCAGTCGTCCCAGGATGCCAATACAATCCATCGAGCACAGTCAGTAAATCACACCACTTACCAACCTAAAATGACATGGAACATTTTAAAACTCCAAACAAAAATAAAACCCTGTTCTACAGGAAAGAGGTACTTGCTAAGCATAGCTTATTGATGCTGCTTGCAAAAAGAATTGGGAATTTAACTCTTACTTTAAAATGGCCTGATAACAGTAATGCTGCACACAGCTGAATTCCCTGTGCCATTTTATCAGACCTTGAATTATCTGATCCGTTGATCCTGTGTAATGAGAAACAGGAGGCCACCTTTGATCTTTCTCACAGAATTTAATAAGTCAAAATTAGAAAGGAGCCCTGCCAAATGAGGACAAATTTGACTAGGAGGGTAAACTAGGCAAGTTGCTAAATTTTAATTGTGTTTTAACAAAATGATCCGAGCTCATAGGTTGAATAGCCACAACAAATCGGGAAATAAACTGTTGCATTATTGTCACTGTAAGATTAAAGCAGCAGAATGTATGTTTGTAGAGGTATTAAGGGAAAAGAGCATTTCTTTTGTTTGTACAGTACTGAACACATTCACAAAAACAAGAAGAGATACCTTTGTCCTTAGTCAGACTTCAGAAAACGCAATTCACTTAGAGATGTTTCCTGTTTTAAATGATGGATATGTTTAAAAGAGTTGTTTTCTAGTTTTGTACATCTGTTTTTATTCCCTTATACTGTTTCCAAATACTTCAGTTAAGGAATGACTTTTGCTTGTGTCAATTTATCAAAACTAACACTGAGTGAAAATCTCAGCTATAAAAACACCCCATCTCTGTAAACAAATGTGGCAACCATAATTCAGTTTGGATCTCTGCAGCCATTTCCTTCAAGATAGATTCTTGTCTATAGAGATATTCAGGTAACAGCAGATTAAATTAATCCCAAGTACTGTCAAGAAAAGAGGCACCGAAGTGTGTTGCTCCCAAGTAACAGCAGCTGCCCCAAGAGAGCTGCCACAGCAAGCTGGGATCTGTCAAGAAGATCCTCAAGATCCTTAGAATCTAATGATTAGCTCCCACAGCTTCCTTGTACATGTGAATGCTTCTTCAAAACCCCAAACAAACAAAACAAGCAATAACACTGGGTGTTTAACAGCTTACCTTAAGATATAGTTTAACAGCAACCTGGCTTTAGCTCCTCACATCCATCCAGTAGGTTCATGAAATTCTAGAAGGAAAAAAAAAAAGTAGAGTAGGTCTGGTAGCCTTCACTAACCCTTAGGAAGTCATTTATGTTAAGCTGAGGACAACAAATAGGGGTAGTCTGACAATTATCAGGCATCACAGTTATCTTTCAGCCCTTGCCCTTGATTTTCAGTGGAGGCTGTGCATTCCCTGCAGAAGGAAGAAGGGAGTGCAGCAGGACACGACTGGGAAGTGATGTTCTGAACCTGATTACAGGGACTTGTGTGCAAGACTAAGAGGTCAGTTATGTTTCCAACAGCACTACACTTCTGGTCTTCCATGCTTAATTCCTAATGTACAGGCAAAAGGTGCAGAGGTAGAGACAGACACGGAGCAGTGTAAGATTGCACCTACTGCATTGCAGGGAGGAGCACTGCCCTTCCATTGGACCCATTCCATAGGAAAAAACTACCTTTGCAGACCTTTACAGTTATGATTAAACAACCAGGATCTTGATTAGGGTGGATATAAAGCACTGATCACTACTGAAAACACTTTATAGGAGCTTTCTTTATGTTCTTATTCCAAACTCAGGCAAGTAAGATCTGCTTATTTAACAGTGCATTGTTTAGATCATAGCAAGACTATTTTTCATTATTAATCAGTACAATGTTATTAATCAGCATTAATTGGCACCCAGTATCTGTTTCATTGGATGCACGTAAAGCAACATCTCTGTGACTTTGTTTAGCTTCTAGTAGTCATGCCACCAGCATCTGAAACCCTTTCAGCTACACAGATCATAGTTTCCACATTTTACCAAACTGTTCTGTGAAACTTTCATCAGTGTGACATGCCAGCATGTTTTTAATAGAAAAACCAGATATTTTTGCATGTAGTTTTTTTGGTATACTTTATGCACATGATTGCTTTTAACATAATATTTGTTTTAGTATATGAAAAGCAATTGAACGGCATAGTAGATTATCAGGAAGCACTGGGCAAAAACATATTCTGCTGGACTGACCCAGCTGTTGAACATGTCTTTTTTCAAAAGCCCTAAACCCATGTTAAGTGCTACATCTTATTTTTCGTGCACCTCAGCAGTTCCTCGTCCTGGCTGGAAGCGTGAGCTGGGAAATGACTGTTCCTGCAGTATCCAGAGTTCGGCCATAGCCAAGAAGTCCTGGAACTGTAACAGTGTATTCTTTGGGGTGTATTCAATATTAAACTAAGTTTCCAAATGTTTCTTGGCTCTCCAGCCATTAACTGGACCTTGAAGTTCCCATTTTTATTCAGTGGCGGGGGGCTAACCCTGCCATCTGTTTTGACAAAGGTTTTCCATTGCCTCTGCACAGCTGACAGAACATGAGGCATGTTAGGAGAAGGTTAAGTTCTCTTTCTGAACCACCAAGAATTCCCTGAGCCCTCGGAAATCTCATCAGAACACAGCTAAGCAGCTAATTGTTAATCTGTTTGTGATGGATTTTAGTTTGCCTTGAGCTTCAGGTCTTAAAATCTTCCTAGATCCCTATCTCTTGTTCTCTGAGCATCTGCCTACTCTTCGTTCCTTTAGGTCAGAAATCTTTACTGAGTGGAAAATCATTGCTGCAGGCATTCTGGGGGAAAAAAAATAAATTAAAAGGCAAGATCACTTCTGCTTTTGTCTTCTGCACTTTCCTCCATGCTGAACAGTCCCAGCTCTTAGTGGACCCATGAGAATCAAAGGAGCTTGATGAGTGTTGCCAGTATTGATATTATTAAAACAAAGAAAGAGTCCAGATAAAAAAGCAGTAATGAAAAGCTACAGTTCACCTTGACTTTTCAAGTGAGCTTCCCTAATTTCTGTGGAAAATACGTACTAACCAGACACAACTGGTCTTGCACAAATCCTCTCACAAGAATTTAAGATGCCGCTGCAAGATGCACCAGCTGTGTCTGTGCCATCCCGTGCTCTGCGAAGAATTAACAGTTTCCAGATGTTGGCTTGGAGGGTGCTGACACAACTCCTGCACAATTACAGTATCACACAACAATATCAGGAGAAGGATCAGGAGCACAGGAGAACTTTACAGCCTTTGGAAGCTGCAGTGACAAGAAGAACAAAAGCCAGTGCTGTTGTAACTTCACTTGCCCAGCAGCACTGCCTTGGGCCTCGGCCAGATCACACTCGCACTGCAGCACCAGAGAGGCAGCAAGCTGGGAGCTCACTGCTTCATTGCTAGCATTAGTTCTCATTTCTGAAATGCTACACAGCTACTTAATACCAGGATTAGTAGACAGATCTTGCTGGAAGCTGTACGGTGGTGTAACATTAAACGCTGAAATTCATTTTCTCTTTCAATGTATTTAAACACATCAGTTCCATTCCTGAAACGCACAGTTCTTCATACTCGCCTTTCCTGTTTGTCCTCACTTACAAAACCATGAGAGAACAGAAAAAGAACGTAAGGAAATTTAAAAACTGGTCATATCACTCATTTTTTTAACCATTGTCAGATTAAGTGATAAATCTTTCATTACAAAATACTACTGACTAACAAAAGTAGTATTTTAAGACTTGAGACAGACCTAAAGAGGATTAATTCAAATTTCTCCTAGCATATCTGAAAATTTGATATTTTTCAGAGATATCATCTTAAATATAAAGAGGAACATAAGGAGTTCTGCACACATCCCATTTAGAAACTATTCCTTCATCTATGAAAGCAGAGACAACAACTCTGTTGATGTAAATGACAATAAAAGCAGCTGCTGATTTGTGGGTTTATTTGTATCTAAAAAGGTGACCATGTAACAACCACTAAACACAAGAGGAGAAGAGGAGGGAAGCCCAGGGCTAGGAACCATAAAACATTTAAAGGGCAAAGCTGAGAAGGGATATAATTTGATCCATTTGAGTCCATCTGACATTTTTATATCCACATTTAACTAACAGGTCGTTAATATCCACGCAAATGTAAGCAAGGGAATTTTGAGCCGAGATGTCTTGTTCAAAGTAATAAAACCTTTACTCACACTCCGCTTGTACATCAAACATTTCATAACTTGGCAGTCCAACTGCACAGAGTGGAATCAGTCAGCATCTGTTCCCAAAATTCTTGCACTGCTATGGAAAATAGCAATTATCACTAAAGATTTTTTCCTCAGAGAAACCTGGCTGCACATGAGGGGAAAAATCAGACAGCGAGCTGCGTGTGATAGGGGCTTTTAATTTCCCCTTTTTGGCTTCTAAGTAGAAGAGACTCCTTGCAACTGAAGTCCTTCTGCAGATTATGACTTCCTAAAGAGCCACAGGAGGATTTACTCGTCCAAGTTCTCTTAATTCAGTCCTGTCCCATCCTGAAACATTCTCAAATGCTGAGGTCAGCAGATAGCAAGAACACATGGCAGAAGAGACATGTTCTTTTTCATTCAGGAGAAGATACCAGAGATCACTCTTTGCAGCTTCTCAGAAAGCCTCAGCTTCCCACTTAAAACCAAGGTTCCTGCAACTGCGTTTCTTTGTGCAGACTGTGCTTTATCATGTACCATATAAAACAGAAAATAAAGTGGAACAAAGTACTAACCAGAATAGTATTTTTAACACATTTTGCCATTTTCTTGTCAAATTTAAGAAGAAAACTTGGTTTTGAGACCTTTTTTTTAAAAAAAAAAAAAAAAATTATCCCAAACAGAATTATACCTTCCCAATTTCAAATCCATTTGCTACATGGCTTTAAGATTTTAAAGAGTATTTCTATAAGGTTTTAGTTTAGGTATGACTGAAGTTGTAATTCTAACAATAGATGCTCGTAAGTCTAATAATGTCAGTGTTCCAAATATATGCAATGATTAAATCTTCAAGAGTGGTTTCACTAACTTTGAGCCCTTATAGTTCTGATTTTAATAGGTTTTTTTATTCTGTAAACAATACTATGGATGTGGTGTAGTAGTGAGTCTCATTTTGAACTGGGCTTAAACTGCTTAAGGCTTCTTTTACATCTTTCCCATGCTAAGGGAAGGATCCCATAGTACCTTAGTCTCATACAGCTGAATGGTCTGTTGGGAAAGTCCCAGTGTTTTCGGTGGCAAGTACCACTTTAATACAGTATTTCCTTGAATTAAACATTATTCCTGAAGGTCTTTAGCAAAATAAGCAAATATGTATGTTAGTATAAAACACATTCTATATGCACAGGCTTATTTCAACACAGTGCTACCAGCAATAATTCAAAGAAAAGGATATGCAAGGCAGAAGCTGATAGGAGACATAGCCCAGGCTTCGGGATGAGTGGCTGAATCAACAACATGACTAATGGTGTGAAATCTCAGCTGAGAACACATCTTTGCGAAGTGCCACCGTAAAAATGACTGGTGAGAGCAGGAAAACTGATGATTTACTTTGTCAGAAGCGTCTCTGAATGTAAATGCAAGCAGAGAGTATGTTCAGCATACCCAAAAATCAGACGGGTTGCCTGGGCTCAGAGCAGTCGCTGCCCCTGGATCAGGCTGTGGGCTGGTGTGTGCCCTCGGTGAGCTCCTCTTGCCACAACTCCAAAACATGCCATGTGTGACTGTGGTCGTGGCCATTTAGTGCAGCAAATATTTTTCAAGGTCAAACACTTCAAAGGAGTGTGGACACAGCCACAGCTATCGGAAAAGTCTGGTTTTAATTATGGAACTGCTCAAACAACTAACATCTACATCGGATTACTCTGGGTCCATGACGTGCATCCTAATATCTCTTTAAGTGATGAGCTGTGTTTAACAAACTGAGCTTATCATCTGTGATTTCAGTTTTACTTGTAACTACTCTCGAAAGTTTAATTACTGCTGCCGCTTGTATATGCATTTCCTCTGTGTTAAATGCTAAATAAAACTGATTCGCTTCAGACAATTCCCGGGGCTTTAAAAATTAAGAGCCTCTTCCAGTCTAAAATGGCTTTAAGCCACCATGAATTTGTTGGTGTGTCAATGTTATCACTTAAATAACCTCTTCTAACTAGCATTTACCTTCTGTCATGTAATATGTATGACACATTACCTGTCTTCTACTTTGCC